CTCTAGATTTTTGAGTTAATTGATATAACATATCTAGGTATAGTGGTCTAGATAGTAATTATATATCAATGGCTGTATTTCACCTAATATTTAACTATGCATCTATTTTTGAGATCAAAGAATTTTCATTCTGTACACCTACTTCTGACCAAAATGATAAATATAGGAAATGTTTTGAAATATTTTCAAAATAGCTTCTGCTGATAAAGCTAGTGTGAATTTGGTGATGAAATTAAAATACACAATATAGTATGGAGAAATATCAGGAGAAATGTAGCATAGCAGTTATCAATTAGGGCATTCAAAACAACTCTTGAATTGTAGGTTGATACTTGCCTATACCCCAGCCTTTCAAACATATCCATCATGGTTTGCACTGATGATTTGGAAAAAAGGTACTGTGCTTCTTTCTTTGTGTTCTCCAGAGCAGGTAAAATTTCTGTAGGATGTTTAAGCTGATAATCAGTCAATTTCCTTATTGAATCATGGTTCTTATGCTGGTCATCTTCTCTTTCATCCACTAACTCAGTACATTTGTGACAAAATAATCTCATTGCAGGTGGCACCTTCATCATCTCTTGCACAGAAAACAACTTCTCATGGTTGATACCTTCCAGTTCCTTATTTATTTCTTGTTGCCACACATCCTTCTTGAAGGAAGACCTATTTTCTGCCCACAGGAAAAAATTGCAATGTTTTCTATCTCTACTAGCAGCACATGCGAAAAAGTTCCTTTTAGTGCCCTTGACGTTTCTGGAGAACAATATTGTTGGGCCGTGTGGGCATTGTGGATGGCTTTCGAGATCTCCATTCACAATTTCAATGTGCCCTTCGCTTGTGGTTTGCTTTTTTCTTTTCATTTGGAATTTCGTCTTCCACACGAGAAACCTTCGAGAAACACATGAACATAACCTTAGAAAAACAGCTGACAAAACAACAACAGAACATGGAACCACGGAAAGAAAGAAAGAAGAAATGTCAAACAATTGGGAATTCGTTTTGCCCAGAGATTCGTATCTTTTTATATTCAGAAGCGTACGAGACTCGAAAGGAGGTACATAAATGTATGTACGCTGATAGTAACAAATAGTTTTTCTGAGTGATACACATAACTGGTCTGTTCGTTTGTGTTTGCCCTATTCCAGAGATCACTGTAAGTCATTATTTCAACAACTAGGTGCTATGCCATTGCTATCATTATATGTTTCTCAGAGATTAATTGAAATACATAAGAGGAGGGCCGCATTGTGTACCAACTCAGATACTCATGGTAATGCCATTAGATCCATTTGGTACAAACCCCTCGCTATAGACTAAAAAAATCCGAAAAAAATAGTTTGAATCTATTCCCATACAATAGGCTACCTATGACCGTGAAGTTGTTCAGTTATTCAAAATTCAAAAATACGTTTCATTACGTATCAAGTCGTTTATTCTCAAAAAATGCTTCTACAGTGTTCAAGAATATTTTGGATTCAAAAATGTCTTTTGAAATATTTACTGAGTTGCTCACTCACGAATGGTGATCTCAACTTATTTTATTTTGTCAAAGGTACCGTAAGCCTTATACTTAACAGTATCACCTAAAGATTCATTTTTATTATATTTTATTCAAGTTATTCTCTCATTTTCACTATGTCTGTCTGAGTACTATATGTGTATTTGTTTTTCATAAGTATTTTTTCTTTATAGGTATTTATATTAGGAAAAGGAATATATCTTCTTTGTTACATATTTTGACTTTTGTATATTATATATTTTATTATCACTATGTCTGTCTGACTACTATGTGTATTTGTTTTTCATAAGTATTTTTTCTTTATAGGTATTTATATTAGGAAAAGGAATATATCATCTTTGTTACATATTTTGACTTTCACTAAACATTTACATGTAACAGTGCTAAAAAAAGCCTATCTATCTATCTAACCACAAAGAGATACTAATAACTTGCTTAGGGGGTGAAACAATTGCCATTATTTCTTTCTTACTTGCACTGACTCTAATAGCCACTAGGTCACACTAGTGACTACTATGCACTTCGCGATCTATTCTGATTCTATTGGGGCTACATCTTCACTAGTTGACGTGTCGAGAGTTGATAATATTTATTTCCCCACGCCCCCCGAAAGGTTGAATGCCCAAGATCAAGTGCCGCCATATAACTGGCTTACGTTATATGATATAGCTCCTCATCCCCATGTCCATCCACCCCCACTCACTAACGGGAGGACTTCAACCTTATGCATTTGGCAATCTGCATATGTTTTATAAAACCCTTTAGTTGGTTTCAGTCTCCCGACTTTCAAACCTTTTTGTCTAATGTGTGTTTCCTAGCCTGACTTTGCGTGGTGGTTCCCTACCCTAATGGGAAGCAAATTTGAGTTTATGTAATTATTATTATTGGTTTACTTTTTCATAGGGTATCAAAGGAGATACTCTTCTGTTTAATTATCTGATGATTATTATGCAACTTTTATTGATATTGATTTAATTTCGTTCGTTTATCTTATATTTGGTGAATTGGGCGCCTGTACTTTATTCTTCCGAAGCGCGGGTCTTGATTTAGTTGTCAGATCGTGTAGTACTAATATTAATTTACAATTTTGCAGTGTTTTTATAGGCCAAACAACGATTATTCACTACGTCATACTCGTTTGTCAGTTTCAGTTGACAAATCGAAGTGAAATTTACATCATTTGTCTGTCTCAATTCAAGGTTGACCTATATAAAACCTAGGACGAGATTTTATTTTAAAATGGTAAGTTTTAACAGCACAAAGCTGAACTATAGCGTAGTTATTCAGGTTTTCTGACATGAGGAATACGAATTTGCAACTCATTATGTGATTGCTCATAGAGGGCGCTAGTGATGGCACTATGTTTCTTCGGTAAATTACATCATATCTTTTTTGTCCATTAAATGATGATCAAAATCAGTGAAAAATCTTAGGATTCTCTCAAATTCACGAAGAAAATGTTCTTTTTTTTCAAATGGTGTAGCTCTAAAACGGTTTTTGCATTATTCGCACTCGAAGAAATCAATTAAGTAATAATCAAAGATGAAAATCACCTACGCGACGCCAACAACAAACGGAATTTGAAGTAAATGTTCGATCAAAGTTGAGGAAAATTTCTAACTTAAACTTTTCCTTGAACACCCTCTGTATCTGCAACATTTCTTCGAAGCATTTCGGGTTGAATCTTCATATTTTCATGTTTAATATTTGTAGTTCAGAGATTTTTTCATTCTGAATGAATCACTCTGTATATTATTTTGTAAACAATACGAATTAGGATACATCTCGCATTCATATTAAAACCGATCGAAACCAAAACCAGGCCTACTCGATTTTTATTACGGCGGGGTAGGTCGAGATTTATTTGAAAATACCAAATTCAGAGTCTCATAGCTAATAACCAAATGAACATAGAAAATAAACGTTCTGGATGGAAGTTCTCGTTTGAAAAAAAATTATATTTTCAGGATATGCCAGTTTCGGGAATTGAGCAAATAATACTGCCTCCGAGAAAGAACTACATGTAATTTTAATCTTTCATTGCTTAAATCTTGAATATGCGGTTTCGTTTATTTTCCGCGATTTATTGAATGATTTTCGTGACGCTACTTTCGATATATATATAGGTACTTCTATGTACTAATAACTCTGGTGAAGTCAATAAAACTCGAAATCAGACAATTTCAAACTTCATGCCATTTAAAATAACTACAAAACAACCACTGAGTCCGCAGTTTGTAAATCGAATAACAGAATTAAGTTTATATATAGATACTTGATTAATTCAAGGGTTTCCTTAGCAACGCAGGTCTCGCCTTCTATAATAAGTACAAACAGCCTACACAAGTTTCAAACTCTAATTTCACATGGATAATTTTCCAACTCCAATATATATATATATATCGTATTAAGTTTTGAATATTGGATCGCCGTCTTTATTTCCATCACAGAAAAAAAATATTGTCTCTCTCCACTTTGCGTCGAAAGAGCTGAAATCTAATGATTTTCTCCCTTGTTCAATGAATGACTATCATAAGTTACTGATAACCGATCTTTTTAGGGGCCTAAATCAGAATTTGGGAAACTTCAGGCTCCCATGTACCTCCCAACTCCGCCACTGTTAGGAATAATCAATACGAATGCCTGGGCAAAACGAATTCTTTATTCCTGTCAAAGATGACAATGATTATCGTGACATGTTAAGGTGAGTTCCCAACGCAGCGTTTTTGCTTTACGCGTCATGCAACCTGATTGGTGACGCGGAATTTGAAAAATATTTGACGCGATGAAGATAAAATACTTCAACTTTTTGGCGTTGCTGCTCTGTGTTGCGTTGAGGTTATGTTTCAGAAACCTTCATATTCATTAAAGCAATAAACATACTTTCAACACAATATTTTTCATGAAAATGTAGAAATTTTGTATCCAACTTCATTAAACCCCATTTCAGAAAGTGATCTCATGATGAGTAAATCATTGCAGTATGACTGGAGTGGGTACCTACCTAATCATCTCATTGTCACCATAGATTAAAAATGTTGTCACTATGCTATTTTCGTTATTTGATGAATTACTTATCTGATGCAGGTCTGATATCTCACGAGCATTATCCTATATTTTCAGTATTTTCAGATATTCTCATGATTTTTCAATGCAAACTTCGACTACATCGACAAGGAGGTAACCGAAGAAAATAATAAAAAACAGTGCAGCAATTCTCATTTACGCGTCATTAATCATAGTGTGTGACGCGTGATGCGAAAAGCAAAAAAGCTGCATTGGGAACTCACCTTTACGTTTATGTCAGAATTATTGTCAGAAGTCAGAATAGTCAGATATGAATGATATGATATGATATGATCTATGATTTAATCACATTGTTAATTTTTATTCCAAATTCAGGAAAAGTTTGTTCCTTCATTTTCTTCAGTTTCTTCTGTAAATATTAGTCTAGCCGACCTTTATTTTCTGTTTGTTCATAATGAATACAGCAGAGAAAGAAACTGTAAGTAAAACGTTCGCACAAAACCAAGCAGAGAGAATGAAAAAGCTGAGAGAACTACACAGGCTGAGAAACGAAGCCAGGACACACAATCACCAAGAAGTGATCGCCGAAGATGCGAGAAACAAGCTTCCAAATAACTGGGAGAGCAGGAAACGAAGAGCAGAATGGATGTTGAATGATCAAACTGAAAGAGAGGAGGCTGTCAATCGTGGAGAGGATTATGATAGGCTAAAATTATTGAACGTTTCTGCTGTGGAAGCTGAAAGATTAGAAAGGATGAAAAAGAAGAAAAACCCTGATGAAGGATTTTCTAATTTTGAAGCTGCATCTGTGAGACAGTACAATAGGTTGGTGAAAAATTTACCAGCAAAAGACATGGAAAGATACATAGAGCAGAAGAACAAGTATGGTGAAGCATTTTATGCTGCTCCCAATACAATTGTGCATGGTTTACATGAAGACAGGCCAGAGGCTGTGGACAATCTGGTGAAGAGTGTGGAAGAGCAGATAGCAAAGAGGAACAAGTATTCTAGGAGGCGTACTCATAATGATGATGCTGATATTGATTATATCAATGAGAGGAATGCCAAGTTCAATAAGAAAATGGACAGGTTTTATGGGGAGCATACTGCTGAGATTAAACAGAATTTGGAGAGGGGCACTGCAGTGTAAAATGGTAAAGAAATAATTCACAAACATTTGAGCTATGAAAAAGATTTGTAAGAACTGTATGTAAAGTAGTTTAAAGAAACTCAAATGAATTTGGCTAGGATTATATATTTTATTGGAGGTAGATAAAATACAAATACATAAATTGTAAGGTTTTTTCAATCACCATGATTTGCCTTGCCAAATTTAGTGGTTTACATATATTTTTTACAAATAATCAACTGTTTTGAGATCAGTTCTGAGAATTCCCCATTTCTAGCATAGACCTATGTCTCCAAAAACTGTAACCCTTAGAATTTCTTTCCACGCCCTGTATGATGAATGTCAATTTATCATACACCCAAAAGTAATAATATGTAGTTTCCTTATTACCTTATTACTCATTTAGCATGAGATTTTGGTAATATCTATACTTCATTTATCTATACCTTGATTTATCCCTTATGAATCCAATGTACTTCTGGGTAGAACACTTCTGTTCTAGATCCAAAAAATATTGATATTTAAATGATGTTATCTCAAACTGAATTGAATTTTAGTTTTAGTTATTGTTAAACATCACTAAGAACGATAGTATTCTGATATTTTTTAAAAAGATTTATGATGATTTTTAGGTGAAGTCATACAAAGTAGAACCCTATTTTCTTTGAGAAGAAGCTATATTTTGTAGGCACATCTCAAATTTCAAGACAAAATTATCACAAATGCAAATTTGGCAGATGGGATTTGAATAGCTGTGTGTAAACTGTGTTTTTTCATATGCAAACATATTTTGAACTCTTCAAAATGGCGTCAGAAAAATTATATTCCCCACAAAGTTAATATTTTTTGTGAGTGGGAAAAATAATTTTTAAATAAATCCCAGCTGACATAAAAATCAAATCAGCCCAGTGTTATACCTTTGATAGGTTTTAAATGAATGCAAAATGTATCAAGATTCTTAGAAAATGATTTGTTTTCCAGCCAATTCGATTTTTATTATTCTGGCCAAGTAGTTGAAGTTTATTTGAAAATGCCAACTTTAGAGTCTCATAGCTATCAAGTTGATGAAGATAGAAATGAAGTTTTAGGATGAACGATGTTTAAAAAATATGGTCTTCCAAATACCCAGCTATACAAATCCCTTCTGCCAAATTTACATTTGCAGTTTTGCTCTTCCTGGTATGAAGGGTGGGAAGTTTGATCCACCCTGTACATCAGCAGAACCATAATATTTACTTGTAATTTGTTCTTCATTTTGTATGTTACTGTGCTAGTTGGGATGAATTAATATTATGGTCTGAAATGGTCTGAAATAATTGAACAAAATGTATCAAAATAAGCATTTGCTATTCCTTTATAAATCAATAAAATATTGTTTATATGTACAGTACAACTGAAACTTAAAAAAATATATTTAACACAGTTTTGTGAGCAATCATCAAAAGTTGCAGCAGTTTTCTTTTGGCCTATGATACCCAGGAGTGTGTAATTCCTGAAAAATATAAAAAAAACACCAATAATTAGGACACATACAATAATCAGGAAAATAATTTGTAGAAGAAATGCAAATGATAATAACTATGATTATAACCTACCTCTTGAATGACACTGTAAAATGTACTATAGAGATGAGAGATGGGATATACCAACCTGACAATATATTATGTTAGGTATGTTATCAATCAATTGACTTGAATAATTTTTTTCATAATTGTAAATAATATCAGACTCATAGATAATTTATTATTAGCAAAACATTAGTATCATAAAGTATCACTGAATATTTTTCAATTGCCACCTCTTGATATAAATGAGTAATGTGGGATTCCGAATTAATTGATAATTCAATTCTATAGAGGAGAAAAACGTGGAAAACAAATGATCCTTCATTATGTAATATCTCTCTCCAAGTATGCCCAGAAAAAAAAACAGAATTTTGTGATTTTCCTCATATTTCCAGACAATTTTTGAAATCTTCATACTTTGCCCCAATTGTGGAGCCACACCCTGTACTTTTATGATTATCAATGACCTTTTTTTTTTTTTTTTTTAAAGGCTTTATTCAAATAGTTCACAATCTGATTATTTTCAATTTCGTACATACATTGTTTCGGACACTATTTGAAAAACAATTCCAAATCAGCATGTAATGCTGGTCTCGGAACTTCTTAAGTCTACACTTTTTCATTTCATTGTTACTGCCCAATCTGATTTTCGTATATAGTGATGTCATTGTTAGAGATTCTCTTAGACAGTTCATTTTTAAATATTTTTATGTTTTCGGCTTCCCTCAGAGCCACTGGGAGACAGTTAAAAGTTTTGATACATTTGATGAGAGGGTTATTTAAAGCAATGTTCGTTCTTGTGGACTCGATGTATATATTTCGTTGATTCCTTGTCTCGTAGGGATAGACTTCATGGTTTAATTTAATTCGTGAATTACACTTCTGTTCAGATTTGCAAACCTTGTACATAAATTTACTCTGTTCAATTTTCAATATTTCTGAGATTGGTAAAATGCCAGTTTGCTTATAAACCAATTTTGTTGGTGTTCTGAATTCGATATTGAATAAAACTTTTACAATTTTATTTTGTAGTTTTTCTGCTTTTTCAAATAGTGTACGCCCACAGGATCCCCATAAGGGAATCAAGTATCGGAAAATAGATAAAAAGTATGCATTATAGATTTGAGTATATAGTTTGTGATCAAGATAGTCTCTACATCGATAGATCGCTCCGATCATCTGTACTACTTTATTTTCAATGTGGTCAATATGTTTACTACAATTCATTTTGTCGTCTACAACTAGGCCAAGATATTTTGTATTTTCAACTCGTTGTATCTCCTCGCCTCCAATTTTCATGTTAATCTTCTCAAAGTTTGTATTTCTTTGCGTAAACACCATAAAGGTTGTTTTTTTTTGTATTTATTTTGAGTTTGTTTTTTGTTATCCAATGATTATACAAATTTAAGTCAGAATTTATTCTTATCTCTAAATTTTCGTGGTTTTCGTTACTGTAGATTAGGACGGTGTCGTCTGCAAAAGTAAAGTATCTCCCAAGTAGTTCTACTTTTTCTAGGCTCCTAACATGTAGTGAGTACAGTAGGGGTCCTAATACAGACCCCTGCGGCACTCCACAATGTATACTCATTACTTCGCTTCTAATGCTGTCTATGCAAACATATTGTTCCCGATTATATAGATATGTTTTCAGAAGTGTTAGTAAATTGCCACGTATTCCCATTTTTTCCAATTTTTCGAGTAAGATCCTGTGATCTACTACATCGAAAGCCTTTTGTAGGTCAATAAATACCGCTACGACATATCTTTTTTCATCTAGATTAGAGGAGACAAAATTAACAAAATCAATGGTAGCACTCATTGTATTACTTTTAGGTTGGAACCCGTACTGGTATTTGTCGAAGTGGACGTCTTTCTCGATAAATTCAATAATTCTTGACTTTACGATAATCTCAGTAATTTTTGATAGGCAAGATATTACAGTTATTGGTCTGAAATTATCAATTCGACTAGTTGGTCCTGTTTTATGAATTGGGGTCACCCTACCAATCTTGAGAATGTCTGGGAAAATACCCTGTTGAAACGTTTTATTTTATTTTATTTTATTTTTTTTATTCTACCTGGGGGCATTATCATAGCATCATGTTTTCCGCACCACGAAAGGAATCGTAAAATCGAATCACCCTGGTCCAATGATAACAAAGATAATTGAGGAAATCTGCATTTAAGGATACTCGTTGATAGGAATATTTTTCGCAAATAGTTTTTCAAATTTGATTGTTTTTGCATGACTAATAACAATGATTTAAAGGGTGGGAGACGAGATGCAAGTATAGGTACTATAGGCACCACTTAATACTACCTAGTGTTAAAAATTTACGAAAGCCACAAAATATTAGTTTAAGGTTTCACACAAATAACACACAGCATCACCACACATTATATCTTACTTCTTGACAACCTAGGCGTTACGTGTATATGGATATTATCTCCAGGAGATGCAGAAACTACAAATAAAAAACAATAAACATCAATATCACATAGTTTTATTCATTTTTATAACTATTTAATAAAAGTATATCTTAAAAAACAATTAACTGTGTTTAACAATAACTAATTTAATGTTCCTCTTTGAAAGACTTGAGTTTTAAAATGGTGTTTTCGTAATTGGAGTTATAAATGATGTATCTTTCTACAATACAAGACGAACAAAACAGGAAAGTGAAGAAAAAAACAATTTCGTCAAAAAAATAAAAACGGAAGATATAGTAATCGGAAGAAACAAAAATTGAACTAAAAGTCGGTTTACCACAAAATTTGATACAATACCATCATGTGTGAAAATAATTTCGGCACTTCAGCCATCTTCAGATACAAACACAATGAGAAAGCAAGTAGGTACCTAGAAAGTTACAAAGTTTTTAAATCTGAACAATATGGAAGCCGAGAAAGGACTTACCTCTTGTGGAGGAACATTTTTGAACTTGAAAAATTATCAGGTCAATTTATGGAACAGCAGTCCAATTCGGTACTAATTGAATTTGAAACTGCTGAAGAGCCAACAGATCTTGACTAAAAGTAAGTTCAACATCGGGAAAATTATAAACTTATTATAAAAATCTATTGAGAGGAGGTTCAACTGCAGTCAGGTCAGTGAAATTTTATTTCAATATTGTTTTTGGGTGTTGGAGACTCATTTTCACATGATAGACTGTCAGTCAAAATTTTTCATTATGATTTTTTAATTTGTCAATACTATCATGTCAAATGTCAAATCACCACTTCCATTCTTTGCAAAAGGAGAGTTATATTTTCCACTTCAATGTTGTTTGGGTATTGGAGACTCATTTTCATGTGATTGACTAAAATTTTTCATTATGATTTTGTAATTTGTCGATAGTGTCATGTCAAATGTCAAATCACCACTTCCGATGTTTGCATCTCTATGTCTTCCTTTTGATGGCTTGACTGCAGATGAAGCTCCTTTGAGTTGATTTTTATAATAATGTCGTAATTTTCCCGATGTTGAACTTGAATTAGTCAAGTTATTTTGGCTTTTCAGCAGTTTCAAATTTAATCAGTGCAAAGCTGGACTGATGATTTATGTTCCATATAGGTGACCTGATGATTTTTTCAATTTAAAAATGTTTCTCCATAAGAGGTATGTCCTTTCTCAGCTACCAGATTGTCTAGATTCAAGCACATTGCAATTTTTTAGGTACTTGCTTTTTCATTGTGTCTGAAGATCGCCTTAGTGCCGAAACTATCGTAGCACGCATCAATTGGTGTTATCAATTGAATTTTCTTTTCGACCGACTTTGAGTTAAATTTTTCTCCTTTTGAAAAATACTGGAACACTCAGAAAATGCATGGTTTCCATGACTTCAATAAGTATACATTTGCCTGGAATTTTTGTGAATTATTGAAAGAAACTCAACAGCCGAATTAGGAGAAGCAATAGAAGTACCAGTTAATTCTTGTATTATGCCGTTGATTCTTTTTTCTCATTGTTTTATTATGTCTCATACCACAACTCATTTTAATTTCTCTATCACTCCAATTACGGAAACACATTGTATATAAAATAGGTACATAATAATTTGAACAATCGTTTTAATATTTAGAATATGGAATGTTTTTACACCCTGAGTGTTTCTTTTCAATTTTATTGTACTAAAAAGGATGAGGCAACGCTTTATTTCATTAAAGACTGTTCATCATTCATACTGTGTTCACAGTCTTCACATATATTTTGAACTCCTAATCAACTTTTTTCATGTATTGTTCAATTTATATTATCAAGGACCGTTCTTTCATATTTTTCTGTAGATTTTATATATGTCAACAACAGAAAACAGTTAACATATCAAAAAAATCAGTTGAACATCCCAAAAATTACTTATGGGCACCATTCATCAATTTTTGAATAGGACACCCTGAATTTTATTGCATTTTCAGATTCTTCCAGAAGAGCTGACATTTAATCGGAACGAATACAGATTTATCAGAATTTCGAACTTTTCACCACCCTGTATCTGTATCAATTAAATGTCAGTATAGATAATGAATCAAGAGTCCTATACAAAATTTTATAAATGTTGCTGATGAGTATTTTTTTATATGTTCAACTGTTTTTCTGTTCGTATTATATAAAATTCACAGGAAAAAACAATGTTCCTCAAAAAACAAAAAAAAATAATAATAAAGAAAAAAACTCAAGTGGGGGTTCAAAATATGCGTGAAGAGCCTGTACCAATCCAAACATATTAGGTACGGACCAATTTGAATCACCCTACAAGGCGATTTCTGCCATTTGAGAATCATCACTATGATAATGAAAAAAAAAACATCAAATTCATCACAAGTTTTCGAACAACACCAGTTTCAACATGTTTGGGGCTGACCGACTCGAATTTTTTCCACCTATTCGACGATTTATGTCACAAAAATCTGCCTTACTCAGACTCAACGATCTTCAAGTAGTCCTGACACTTTTATTTTCAGTTTTTTCATTGTTTTTTGGGAAGCATTCATGAAAACTCATTTATTTACCAATGAAATGAAGGAAACCATCAAATTCATCACATTTCTAAAAAAAAAACTCATTCCTTCTTCTGAAATAGTTTCAACCTGTTCGTGGGACTAACTGACCTCAACGACCTAGAGTTTCGAGTTATGTTTTTTACCAATGAAATGAAGCAGAAACAGCAAACTCATCACAAGATTTCGAAACACAACTTATTCCCTCTTTTATACCAGTTTCAACATGTTCGGCACCGAGCCACTCTAATCTATTCCACCTACAGGGCCATTAAAAGCTGCGTTACTCAAACGCAACGATCTCGAAGTCGTCCTAACACTGTATTCAGAGTTTTGAATATTTTTATCATTTTTCGGAAGTCCTTCGTGAAGAACCATTTCATTTCCAATGAAATAAGCAGAACCAGCATCACAATATTTCGGAAACAAATCGTGTTCCTTCTCTTGCACCAGTTTCACCATGTTCGGGACCGACCGACTAAAATCTATTCCACCTACAGAGCGATCTATACCATAAAAAGCAGCGTTAGGTACTCAAACTCAACAACTTCGAAGTAATCCTGACACTTATTTTTGGGATTTCAAGAATTTTTATCGCTTTTCGGCAGTCCTTCGTGAAAAATCATTTCTCTACCGTTGAAATAAACCAAACCCATCAAATTTATCACGAGATTTTAAAAACAACGCATTCCTTCTTATGAACCAGTTTCACCATGTTCGGTACCAACCGACCGACTCTAATCTATCCAACGTACAGGGCGTTCTATGCCATAAAAAACCTGCGTTACTCAAAATCAACGATCTCGAAGTAGTCCTGACACTTATTTTTGTGGATTTCAAGTATTTTTATCGGTTTTCGTGCCCTCTGTGCCATGTTCATGTGATTTTTTTTTCACTTTTACTGTTCCTAGAATCAGTGGTTGAAATCTTTCTATATAATTTCCGGACACCCCGTATTCAGAGTTTCAAATATTTGTATCAATTTTCGGAAGCCCTCTGTGAAAAATCATTCCATTTACAATGAAATAAAGCAGAACCAGCAAATTCATCACAATATTTCGAGAAAAAACTTATTCCTTCTTTTGCACCAGTTTCAACATGTTTGGGACCAACCCACTCGAATCTATCCAATAAAAAGTCGCGTTACTCATACTCAACGTTCTTGAAGTATTCCTGACCCTGTTATCTTCAGAATTTCAAGTATTATTATCGGTTTTTGAAGGTCCCACGTGAGAAATCATTTCTTTATCAATGGAAAAAAGCAAAGCCATCAAATGCATCACAAGTTTTTCAAAAACAACTCATTCCTACTTCTGAACCAGTTTCAACATGTTCGGGAGCGACTGACTCGGATCTATCCCACCTACAGGGTGATCTATGCCATGAAAAGCCGCGTTACTCAAACTCTCGAGTGGCCAGGTAGCCGTGCGGACAGAGTGTCTATATTCTAATTCGCATTCGCTTGCCGGTCGTGGGTTCGATCCCCGTCGACTGCAGAAATTTTTCTGATGGCCCAAGAAAGTGTTTGGGATCACACTTTAAAAGGTAAGGCCCCCGTCATTCCTTGCTCGCACAAGACTTTCGAAGACTTTTGAGGGTTGCTCGTAAGGGGGCAACCGAATGACGGATAGAACAATTTTAGAACAACAATTTTTTTTAGTTGTATTTAATGAAAAACCGTACATGTATTAAAAAGATAGGTCGACGTCATCCTAATTCTAGTTGTGTTTAACTGGCTCAGCCAAAGCTTTGCATTTTTAACCTATGACAACTGTCAACACGTGTTTAACAATCATTTCCAATAGCCGTTTTTATGCAATAGAATGACGTTGATTGCTCTCTATGAATACTCGTATGCTTTCTTTTAATACAACTGTAGGTAGTCCTGATACTGTTATTTCCAGAGTTTCGAATTTTTTTTATCGGTTTTTGGAAGTCCTTCCTGAAAAATCATTTCATTTCCAATGAAGGAATTAGTTCCACCATCTTCATCACAACAACTCATTCCTTCTTTTGCACAAGTTTCAACATGTTCGTCACCGACCGACTCGAATCTATCCCTGCGTTACTCAAGAGCAACGATTTCGGAAGTTCTTCGTGAAAAATCGTTTCATTTTCAATGAAATAAGCAGAACCAGCATCACAAGATTTCGAAAAACAACTTATCCCTTCTTTTATACTAGTTTCAACATGTTCTAGACCGACCGACTCGAATCTATCCCACCTACAGGGCGATTTATGCCATGAAAAGCAGCGTTACTCAAACTCAACTACTCCCAAGTAATCCTGACACTTATTTTTGGGCTTTATGGGTTTTTGGCAGTCCTTCGTGAAAACATATTTTTCTTCCAATGAAATGAAGCAAACCCATCAAATTCAACACAAGATTTTAAAAAACAACGCATTCCTTCTTATGAACCATATCTATGCTCGGTATTTCCATCAGCAACACTCTTTCATGGGATAATCATGTCAGATCCATCGCGAAAGCTGCTTCACAAAAACTCGGATTCTTGTTCCGTGCGAAAAGTTACTTTACACCTCAACAGCTTCTCATGATCTACAAAGCGCAGATACGGCCTGTTCTAGAATACTGTTCCCACATATGGGGTTCAGCACCAAAACATACGCTGATGCTCTTAGATTCCATCCAGAGAAGAGCCATTCGCCTAGTGGGTGACGCCACACTCACTCACTCTTTGACATCATTGGAACACCGTAGAAAAGTCGGCGACCTTTCACTTTTCTATCGATACTTCCACGGGAAATGTTCTTCGGAAATCTCTGCAATCATCCCTTCACTAGCAATACCAATCAGACGAACTAGACAAGCCCAGTCAGCACATCCTTTCGTTGTCAACCTCGAAAGATGTCGAACAGCACTTTATCAGGACTCCTTCATCCATAGAACGGCTAGGCTCTGGAATTCATTGCCTGTGGAAGTATTCCCAACAACGTATAATCTCCAAAAGTTCAAGAAAAATTCCAATACCTACCTCCTGTCCCCATCCTCCCCAGGAACGCATGATGTTCTTTGAACATTATAGGGATTCCCTTTCGTGCGCTCCGAGCGATAAAAAAAAAAAACAGTTTCTTCTTCCTTTTGGGTTTATTGGATTTCTGTCTCCTTTCGGAAACAATTTCTCCAGATCAGGTAATTAATTTTTTGAAGAATAAATACTAGGTTATGTAATAATATTATCACTCGACTCGCCACATAAGACACCAATTGACTATCACAATGGTCTGAAGCCGAGTCATCAGTGTTCATAAGATTCAATCGTATGAACCTACTCCTCTTATCCAGCAAATCCGTTGCTGATCCAGCCTGATTACCGGCGTAGAAATAATAGAGCACGTTTGACTTCAAGTATGGCCTCCTTATCCGATGAATCCGTCATCATGCGGCCTCTATACCGGCGTAGAGATGAAAGAGCCTGCTATTTCTCACACACACTTAATGAACTCCACAATAAATATTGGATTTCAATCCAGATCAGATAATTAGAAAAATATGGACTTCACACAAATTAACCTGACTTTTGGCTTGGAGACGCCATTTTTCTCCTACCGTGGCCAAAAGTCGAATCCTATGAACCAGTTTCAACATGTTCGGCACCGACCGACTCTAATCTATCCCACCTTCAGGGCGTTATATGCCATAAAAAGTTGCGTTACTCAAACGTAACGATCTGGAAGTAGTCCTAACACTGTTATATATTCAGAGTTTCAAATATTTTTATCGGTTTTCGGAAGTCCTTCCTGAAAAAGCATTTCATTTCAAATGAAATAAGCAGAACTAGCATCACAATATTTCGAAAAGAGGACGTATTCCTCTTTTTGCACCAGTTTCAACATGTTCGTGACCGACCGACTCGAGTCTATCCCATCTATAGGGCGTTCAATGTCATAAAAAGTCACGTTACTCAAACTCAACGATCTTGGAGTATTCCTGACACTGTTATCTTCAGAATTTCAAGTATTATCAGTTTTTGAAGGTCCTACGCGAGATATTATTTCTTCATCAATGGAATAAAGCAAACCCAACAAATTCATCACAAGATTTTCAAGAACAACTCATTCCTTCTACTGAACAAGAAGGACCACCAACTTCATCACAACAACTCATTCCTTTTTTTGCACCAGTTTCAACATGTTTGGGACCGACCGACTCGAATCGATCCCACCTACAGGGCGTTCGATGCCATAAAAAGCCGCGTTACTCAAACTCAACGACCTCGAAGCACCTAACCTAACTGCGTTATTGTTAGAGTTAAGCATTCTGAGCGCCTCTATGGTTACATTCGGGTTAACCGCCTCGGTTTTCGTACCGTGTACTATTCTCGGCATTTCGCACTGCTCACATTTGTCCAGCACCGGATGGTTCAGGAATGTACATAGCCCGCAGTTCCATTTGGGACCTTCTGGATCGGTGGATTGCGCCTGCGCGTTTTGATATTGCGCCTGCGCGTTCTGGTATTGCGCCTGCGCGTTTTGGTATTGCGCCTGCGCGTTTGGGTATTGTGCCGGCGGTCTTCTTCTGTTGTGTTGACGGGGTGTGAGGTCTAGCAAAGGCCCGTGTTGACCGGTGTAAATGTTGCTGTAGAAGGCTTCGCCTGGAATGAGGAACACGCATTATAGGCTACTGAACGAACATTGCATTTTTCACATTCAATAATGGGCGAGTGGACTGAAAATGAATTATTAGCATTCAATTACCCCACTGTATCGTCAGGGGTCTAAATTAATTTTTTTCTGTGATGGGAAAAAAGTTTGGCATTTCATCTCTGTTGGCAGGTTATAAAATGTCACTTTTCATAAATTACTTTTTTCCCGGATATATATCACATATATCACGGCTTTTGTTGTGCTATAGTTCCGAAAAATCAGTCAATAATACCGTCTCCGAGAAAGGACTGCAAGTCCTTTTATCTTCCATTCGACTTCGCGGTTACGTATATTACTAAACAACCACTAAATTCGCAATTTTTTGAAATCAAATCACAGAATTAGACTGACAGAAGTGACATCAGATATTCGATTACTTCAAAAGAATGATAAAGATGCCTACAACGCAGGTGTCCCTACTGTTAACAACTTAAAATCTCACGTCGATAATTTTCAGATTTCAAAATAATGTAATATCTTCTCGAAATTGATTCGTCCTTTCTTCAGTCACAGAAAAAAAATAGTGTATTATACACGGGAAAAATATTAAATTTTAGCTCACGGGTTTTTGGCTCCCTCCGCTACGCGTCGGGACAACACAACCTGGAGCTAATATCTACTACTTTTTTCCCTTGTTTAATAAATAACTATTGTGACAAGAAAATTTAATAAATAACTATTGTGACAATAAAATCAGCTCTTCAGGAAGAATCTGAAAAAGTAATAATATACAAGGTGTTCCATTTTGAAAATCGAAGTTTTTTTTATCGCTTGGAGCTCACGAAAGGAGATCCCTATAATGTTTAATGTTGGTGCAAGTCTTCAATATTAGCGGCAACGTCGCAACGCTGAAAATATTTCAGGTCGATATAACACAACTATTATTATTCAAGACACCAACTTTTCAGAACAATCCAGAGTTGCGTTCCCCAGAAACGTCTAATGTGCTATCCAGCGTGAATCAGCCTGTATGAAGTGTCCAATGACAAAATAAGAAGAGCAAGTAGCTGTAAATGCATCCGACATATAGGGGGAAAAAGGAGGCGAAATTTCGAACTTTTTCATGAAATATCTCGATAAGAAGTGGTTTGTTCACATTTTCATTATCGAATTCATGTTTTTCATACAAAAATACGTGAGTACCAAAAAAAAAAAATTCGAAAAAAAAAACCATCGCATGATAAGTGCAGTTTTAACGAAATTTGCATCGACTCACCGTCTGATTCCAAGTCTTTGCACTGCCACGTGAGATGTTTGATTTCCATCAACAACCGATTCTCGTTGTCTTGCCGCGACAGCCTGAGTCTATTCTTCTCTAACTCCTCGATTTCCTGTTTCACCGTTTCCAGTTTGGCTCTCCGCGTTTTCATTTCTATCCGCAGCCTCTCTATCCGAGCTTGCTGATTCAGTAGCAGAGGCGCTGAAATAGTAAATTACGTAACAAGTCCGAACAATACTGTTTTGATCAGAATTTTTTATTTTTTTTTATGTTCTGGTTCTCACGAAAAGGGATTTCCTGTAATGTCTAGAGAACATCGTGAGAACCAAGGGAAATAAGGTAGGAATTGGTGTTCTTCTTAAATTTCTGAAGGTTAGATCCCTCGGGGACACCTCCCTTGGCAATGTGATCCAGAGCCTCGCTGTTCGTTGGATGAACGAATCTTTGAAGAGATGTTCTGCGGGTCACCAAAGTGACCACGCAGCCTCAACTCGACGGGTTAATCTCGCGGGGAATGCCAAGGAAGGAACAATTGTTGATATTTCAGAAAAGCATCGTCCATGAAAATATCTATAAAATAAAGCCAGATCGCCAACTTTTCTACGGTGTTCCAGAGAAGTGAGTGAGTTTGTGAGCGAGTTTGTGAGCGAGGCATCACCCACGAGACGAGATGCCCTTTATTAGACAGAATCCAACAGTTTCAGGGTATGTTTGGGTGCTGCACTCCAAATATGGGAACAGTATTCCAGGACAGGTCGAATCTGTGCCTTATAGATCATGGGCAGCTGACTGAAAGTGAAATAGGTCCTGGCCCGAAACAGAAAACCTAGTTTTTGGGATGCACTTTTAGGAATTGATCTCACGTGATTTTCCTAAAAAAGGTTATTGCTGATAGTAAAACCAAGCATCGAAATGGATGTCTTCAAAGGTATGGTTACTCCTGACAAGCTTATATGTTGGGCACAGTGAGATCGGCTTTTCTAGAAAAAAGGCATGCTTGTGTTTTGCTTGCAATGAATTCTACCAAGTTATTGGATCTCCATTCGAAAATTGTTGCCAAGTTCATATCCATGGATATTGTCAACATTTCTCCCTCTTTCGTTTCTGATTTGCCTGGCTGGTATTGGAGCCCTGGAAGAGAAGGCGGTATGGAGGGTACTATCATCCGCGAAGCTGTGTACTGGACATGAAGTTGCTTCCAACAAATCGTTGATATGGAGTAGAAATAGTGTTGGTGCTAGAATTAATAATAATAATAATAATTGACCCTTGCAGAACACCAGCACTTATGATTAGAGAGTCAGATGAAACTCCGTCGACCACTACATGGAGATATCTGTTTGAGAGAAAACAGAGAACATAGCTGGGGAGAGGTGAGCCATAAGATGGATGCTTGGCGAGGAGTCCGTGTTGCCAGACTCGATCGAATGCCTTGGAGATATCAAGAATTCTGAATATTGAACCTCCCTATGTATCTGTTCCGATTGAATATCAGTAAATAGTGAATCAAAAGTTGAGAAAGGGACATGTGAGCCGTTTTGTCCGATAATGAATAGTTTCGGCACAAAAAAATCCTGTTGAAAAATCTCGATTTTGAACACCCTAAGTCTCTGTAACCATTTTCGATAGATCCCAAGTTTGATATATCGATGAAATCAGCTCTTCAGGGAGAATCTAAAAATGTGATAAAATGCAGGGTGTTCCATTTGAAATATCAATGTTGCTACTACTTTCAAGTAGAAGCGGCAACACTGCATTGTCGAAAATATTTCAAATGAAGAGAGCGTATTCTGAAACATAAGCATGCACATTTTCATGGATATCTCCCGACTGATTCTCGATATGAAGATAGAGCAAGCTTGTCGTGATATACAGGGTGTTGCGAAATTCGACCGACAACGCTTGACAGGTGATAGCCCTCGTGATTTCATAATCACTGAGATAGGGACATACGGTCTTCAAGTGTTCAGTTCTCGAGATACAGGGCGTTAAAGTTAAGAAATAAAAATAGTTGTTTCGCCATATCTCAAGAATAATTGAATATAATGCATTCAACTGCGGTATATGGTTTCATCTTTGAATGGGTCATCTTTTGACCAGGAAGCCATTCCGGACATTTTATCCAGTGTTGCCCTACAGGGGGTTGTGGCAAATTTTTCTACGCCACTGATAAAATTTCGATCATTTCCAATTCCTCGAATTCATTGTTCAATTTAGCTCAGAAGATGCATCACCTTCAACTGAGCTGAAATGAACAGTTTTCGAGATATTAGGCCCAAAATAGAAGATTGCATAGTAATATTTCATCATTTTCAGTAGTAGAAAATTGCGAAAATATTTTTCTGGTGTTGAGTAGACTAGATACTATTTAGATCTCATTCTATAGCTGAACAGAAATAGTTAAACTACGCATGGAGAGAAAACAATTTTTTTTGTAATTTTCTACTACCGAGGAAAATGAAAAATTACTATGCAATCTTCTATTTTCGGTCAAATATCTCGATAACTGTTTATTTTAGCTCGGTTGAAGGTAATGCACTTTTTCATCATAATTGAACAATCAATTCGAGAAATTGGAAATAATTGAAATTCCATCAGTGGCGTAGAAAATATGGGAGGAAAAGTTATCACAACCCTCTGTAGCGCACCTCTGGATAAAATTCTCCGAATATCTTTCTGGTCAAGAAATTGACCATTGAAAGATGAAACCATATACCGAATTTGAATCCATTATATTCAATTTTTCTTGAGATATTGCGAAAAAACTATTGTAATTTCTCAACTTCAACGCCCTGTATCTCGAGAAATGAAACACTTGAAGACCGTATGTCCCTATCTCAGTGATTATGAAATCACGAGGGCTATCACCTGTCAAGCGTTGTCGGTCAAATTTCGCAACAACCTGTATAGCACTGGGAATCTAATCTAGCTCATCCTGTATCTATTGGAATCGAAATTGGCTGAATAAAATCACAAAAAATGAATTTGATATCAGCTAGTCATAAGTGTTCCACAAAAACAATTCACATTATCATCGAATAGCCTGCTAGTTACTTAGCAAATGAATTTTTATTATCAGCTTTGGACAACCTGTATTTTGTAAGAGAAGATTTATACAGGGTGGGGTCGTATTAGTGCGTCGAAGCTCGATTGCTCGAGTTCTATGATAGCTAGAAACTTGATTCAAAAACGAATGTGGATGAGACAAGAAGGTCCATAACTAAAAATTGTTGTCGCATATACAGGGCGCACTGACAAAAATCTAGAAGGTCGGGATCGTATTTTTTAAATGGAATGCCCTGTATATTAGCAAATTTTTTGAAGCATTTCTGTGACCTCCATCCACTCCTATAATATTATTGACAATATCTCGATCATGTCAATGTTATGATTTTTCTTGTCGAAATATAATGTCATCTGCAGATGCATACCGAAAAAATCACTGTCGTCACAATGATGAAATTTAAGAGAAAATAATCTCGATATCACTTGATGAAAAGATGCGTGATATTTCTCTAAGATTTTCATGCCCTCAAATTATACAGGGTGGCTGAGAATGATTTTCCAAACTAGATAATAGATAGATATATAGATATAATATAGATAGATAGATAGATAATCTTTATTTGTTCTTTGAAATCAGAGCCTAAAATTTGGCGTAGAACTTGTCAACACATAATATATAGGTACACAAAAAATAACAAAAGCATATAAAATAATGACTATTCGAAATGATTTTTCTCGAGATTTCAAATGGAACACCCCATATATTTTTTGGCTATTTGATGTAAATTCTACGAGGCCCTGGAAGGGACACAAAATAAAATAAATGAAACTCTTCTAAATTATGAGTTATAACTGGGAATTTTACATTCAGAACTCGAAGTTATAACTAAGAATTTTAAAATTCCGAGTTATAACTCGGAATTTCACGTCCAATATTCCGAGTTATAACTCAGAATTTTATAATTATTCCGAGATATAAGTCGGAATTTTGATGTAAAATTCCGAGTTATAAGTCTGAATTTTATTCATTATTCCAAATTTTTTGGGATTTTCTCTCCTCGTTTCTATAAAATAAAAATATGAATATTATTTCAATATACGTGTAGTAAGGACAAATCAGATGATTTGCCCCAAAATGTCACTGCGTTTAAAGAATTTTCCTATCAGAGAGCCTAAAAGAAAAATTCACTAGCTTGTCAGTGACAATTTGTATTGAAAAAATTTTTGGAGAAGGGAAATAAAGGTATATAGAAAAAATATCAAATTTTCACTTATCTTTGGACGTATATTGAAATAATATTCATATTTTGAATAATGAATATACCACCTCCTCGATTAACCTACAGACAGTATTTTTCGGAATTTTATATCCAAATTTTCGAGTTATATATAACTCGGAATTTTGAAATTCCGAGCAATAAATCTGAACTTCGATGTAAAATTTCGAAGTATAACACGGAATTTTAAAATTCTGACTTATAACTCGGAATTTTGGATGTAAAATTCCGAGATATAAGTCGCAATTTTAGAATTCCGAGTTAAAACTCAGAATGTTGAAGAGTTATTTTTTTTATTTTTTTATTTTACGTGTCTCTTCCAGGCCTTCGTAGGATTGAACCAGAATCGAAGCAAACAGAAATAGTACATGATAATGCCTCGGATAATGCCAGTTATTTACAAAGTAACAAAGGACTATATCTCTAATTCTCAATTATCCTGGTTTTGTTGAGAAATGGAAATTGTGTTATGTTCACTTCGTGAAAAACTGTCATATGAACTCTTTCTGTTTGCGTAGGTTCTGGTTTTGATTCTTTCAATTGAAAAACTGTTTCAATACATTATTAATTGGTCTTTTCATCTTTTAAAAACAGATAAGAATGTGTATCGATGGAAATAGCCAACCTATAACTTTCAAAGTTCAATAATTCAAAAATGGTTACGAATTTCAATATGGATGTTGATATAATATATGTTCGTGCTTTGATTTTACATCAAATCGCCAAGAAATATATGGGGTGTTTCATTTGAAACACTCAAGAAGAATCACTTCGAAAAGTTTCAACCTGTATAGTTTGAGGGTATGAAATTTCTTCAGAAATATCAGGCATCTCTTCATCGAATTATATCATAATTATTTTTTCACAAATTTCAAAATTGATTTTTTCGGTATGCATCTGCAGATGACATTACTTCGA